TGCAAATTGTTATCTGCTTCAGATGTAGGCTGATTTATTTAGTGCTAATAATCAAATGCTGGCATGCTAACAGGCTAAACTAAAAGGGCTAACGTCATACATGATAAACATCAAGGTAATGTCATGTTTGTGCACCTGACTATTCCTATTCCCTAGGAATAACATCTGAGTGTCCTGCAGAATAGTGTGGCTTACTGTGTAAGAGGGAACTGAAACAGCTGGATTCACTTGTTTATAAAATTCATTGCTATTGCCGTTCTAAATGTTTCATTACATTACACGTTTTAGGTTTTGTTTACCAAAAAAACAAGCATATGTCCAAGACCTGGGCAGCTTCATCTACAGGGAACTAAAGTTTGAAAACAAAAGTGGAAGTGTAGTTGACCACTCAAGTCATGCTGGCACATTGTGGTAAAGAACTCAGAATGCTAAATCTGAACTAAATGCTGCAGAAGATCAACACACTTCCTGTTTGTTCTTGTGGCTGACATATTCTCACTCGAGTGGTGGAGGTCAGGTAATTTTCCCATGCAAATATTTGAAACCTTAAAAAAAACGAATAACACTCAGTATTATTCATTCTTTTTGGGCAGTATGGTACACCTTGATAAAGTTACTCAAAACGTTATCAAAGTCCTATAAAATGCTCCCAGAAAACCAAGGGCTTGGGGTTATAGAAATCCCCAGCTATAACAGAAATAATTGGGTGTGAATGGAAGTGCTCGAGGGTTTATGGGATGGTGCCAATTTGAACGATTTAGATAATCACAACAGGAAACTGCTCCAAGCAACAGGTTTTTGTAGGATTATGTCTGTGGAAGATACAGAGACATCTAAGTGTGGGAATGAAAGGTGAAAGTAAACTTTGCCATTCAAGTTTGGTTCCATTGTGGTAAACACAATGGTACAGTAACAGCGGCAAAGGATCATACCACTTCCTGTCTGCTGTTTTGGCACGTGAAATGTTGAGGACAGATCATTTCCCCACGCAAACGTTTTTTTTATAATTGTACCACTTGGTTATGTTCCTCAAAACGTTATCTTAGTCCTATGCTATGAGTACGAGAACTTATTTCATATGGATTCTCTTTGCTCACGGTGACCAGTTCATGGTGCAGTTTTCTCGGCTGTCCCACCCTTGATCCTCACCACGATTGCTACACGAATTGAGTCTAAAATGATAAAGAAAATATTTTTGCACAGCTGTAACTATTGTTGCAACAACATCTGCCCCTGTATTTGGAACTTGTTTTTATGAAATATATATATCTGTGTGATGTTTACGTTCTGTTTGATAGAGATTGGTACTTCTGCCACCTGACAAAACACCACCCAGACTAGAATTTATTTCAAGGAAAAGCTGACCTACAATGAGACAATCATCAAATGTGTTCATGTATAAATGTTCATCATCATGTATAATAAACTAAATGTGAAGAATCTCACTTTTTTCCATCTTATTTTATCTTTATTTTAAGAAAGGGTTGTCTTTTAAAGAAAAGGTCAGCATTGCATTGTGCTACCTTTCGAACCGGAAACACTTTGTGAACATCAGTGACTGCCGTTCCCCATCAGCACCAGTCAACCAAGGAGTACCTCAAGGCTCTGTGCTTGGCCCCCTTACTTTCACCATCTACATTCTCCCACTTGATCAAATAATCCGCCACCATGGTCTCATCCTTCACTCATACTAGGGTCGGCTCTAGAACAAATCGAATGGGGGGAAATCATTTACCACGGGGGGGCACACACTGCCGTCAACAACCAACACACAAACACCAACGTAACTTCAATTTCAAAACATGCTGTAAAGTGTCTTGTTTTCCTCGGAAATACTTGTTTACATAAATGGTGACCAAACCGTTTGAGACCCACTGAGATAACTGAAGTTAACTATCTAAACCAGGGGCAGACTGGCCATCTGTAGAATCTAGAGAATCACAGAACGGCCGGTCGTCTCGGCTCGGTTAGCTGACGGCCGGCACCATCATTGAAGTTGCGACAGAGGTACACCGTTTCCCCGCAGCGAGGCTCCTCCCCCGTTGACAGTTCACTAGCACCCCCCCCCCCGTTGACAATTCACTAGCAAAACCAATTAAATGGCAAAGTGGCTTGCCTGCCCTGCGTTGGGGGGGCACAGTGACTCGTTTGGGGGGGCATGGCCCGCGAATGACCCCCGATAAAGCCGACCCTGACTCATACGCTGATGACACACAACTCTATCTCTGCACCAAACCGTCCACTCAGCTCCCCCCTCAATACCTTGTCAACTGCCTACATGACATCAAAACTGGATGTCATCAAACCTGCTCAAAACAGCAATAAAACAGAGCTGATAGTTGTGGCTCCCAAGGTGCAGAAGATTTGTGATCTGCTTCTCTCCATTGACGGCTGCTCCATCTCTCCGTCCACTGAAGTCTGCAACCTGGGTGTCAGGTGTCCTGGACACCACCCTCTCCTTCCAGGCTCACTTCAAATCTGTCAACAAATCTGCTTTCTACTACCTCAAAAACATTTCCGTACTCCGGTCCTAATTCTCTAACTCTGTGGAAGAAACCCTTATACATGTCTTCATCACCTCCCGCCTGAACTATTGCAATGGAGTCTTGTCCGGGGTTCCCAGCAAAGCCCTGAGTCTCCAGAATGTCCTGACTCTGTTTTCACTAAAAACTCACCTGTTCACCATGGCCTTTGACCCCTAACCCATCACAGTCCCCCAGCTTCCACTCATAATGCTATTTATTAATTTAACTTTATTATTTGCCTTACTTTGTTTGTTTGTTTATTTTGTTGTCTGTCCTTAACTCATGTAAAACGGCCTTGGGTCCCTTGAAAGACGATATATAAATACAATATATTATTATAATTTTGAAGCCATTACATCAAGGGAAATGTCCTCCTTTCACAAAACAACAACTAGTGTTATTGATCAGTTGTTTTTTTCAAAAGTTGGTGAAAGTGCATTTTTCAAAATATAAAAAGAATGATTGACTTTTTGTTCTTTTTGTAAGAATATTCAAATTTGAACAGTTAAAAAATTGCCTATTGTTTTTAATGTTTAACAATTCATGATTCTGCCATTATTACAATAATTTGACCAATACACACAAAAACAAAAAGCAATAAACCTGTCTTTTGATTAGTATATCCTCCTGGGAACCGAGGAAAAAAAACGTTTTCCAATCTTCTTTATTTTTTATTTCCTACCTATTTAAGGTTAAAAAAAACGTCTTGCAATTTAGACTTTTTTAATTTAATTAGATTTTTAAATGTTACAGTATGTCCACTGTAGAGGACGTCAGGACCATTTTAGTTTGAAAAGACAGCCAAAATTAACAGATAGACTATGTAACGTATTATGGTTATAGAGTGATATTAATACAATAATTATTTCACCTTTATTTAAAACATAAATAGGTAATTGATCTGAATATTGTTGTTTATTTGGTCAATAAAAAGTAGTAATAGTTTTTTATTTTGGTGAATCTTTCCAGATCTTCAAAGACTTTGTAGTCAATGTAGTGAGAAAAGTACCTCATTGGACTCCAGTCGGCACGGGCTGTAGGGTCATCTTGACTAGTTTTATGGATGTGGTTTCCAGTTGACCATGCTCATAGAAACAAACTTGGCATTCCTGAGGCAATTCTCATTTTTCATGGCTCCACTTAAAATCAAAACAACAATAAGACACACATTCTACTCTTGGATCACAGAGGGCTATGTGTTTCCAGCTCGTCCCTATTTGTCTCTATGTCTGTATCTGTACGCTCATGGAGCCTCCTGCATCTTTTCCCCCTTCTTCTTCACCCTCTTCTATCCCGGGTGTGAAATCCTCATCTCTCTCATCATCTAAGAGCTCAAAATCTGAATCTCCCATAACTATCTGGTACAGAAAATGTCTGCTTCAGTTCCGTCTCCTGCAACAATGTTGAGTTATTAAGTCCATGAAGACGGTTCTGACGTCCTCTATGGACATTTATAAAAGAGCTGTTATTTCAAAACTTGAATTATCTAATTGCTAAAATAGAAGTAGAGAGCCCAACAACAACAACAACAAAGCAGTCAGCACGAGGCAAAGGGAAAAGGAAAGAATACAGGTGGAGAAATGTACAATATGATCCTCCAGCTGTTGAATTTGATGA